TTATTAATTTTTTTATATTTACTGCATATCTATAATATCATTATTATTATTTTTGTCGTTTATCATAGAAATTTTTATTTACATACAGAATAATTACATATTAACATAATACAGAACAATTATACATCTAGAATGTGAACTATATGTTAAATAAATTATTAATATTAATTCATAAAAAATAAATATATGTGTACTATGTACTATAAATTAAGTAATTATGTAATAATAAAATATATCAAAAGATTACGTGATAATATAAATAGAAATTAAATTTTGTAAATTATTTTATATATATGCAACTTTCTTTTCTTACAATAATATTAAATAAAATACGAAATCGATTGCAGAAATCATTGCGACACATCGAAAAACTGAATAGTTTACGATCGTCGCAAGAAAGCGCATACTACGGGCTGACAGAATTCTCCGATTTATCCAATGATGAATTCATGCAACAAGCACTAATTCCAGATTTATCTTTACGGGGTAAGTTTAATTTAACAAAAATTTAAGAAAAATAACAGTTAAATATTTAAGTACCTACAAAGGGTTAGCGAACCCTCCACCAATTTTTGAATTTAGACGTTTTTTTCCGACTTTTTCACTTATTGCAATAAAAATATCTTTTGTGCTACGACATTTTAAACTTTCTAACTAAAAAAATTCTTTTTTTTTAGTTTTCAAATGATTAAAAAAAAATTAGATTAAAAAAAAATTAGTTAAAATCTATGCATTACAATAAGATATAAGCAAAAGAAAATGCTGGATTACAAATATTCGAATGTGAGTAGATAGGGACTTTTTGAGATATGGGTACTGAGGGAAATATGGAAGAACAATCTTTATTAAAATTCATTAAATACTTTAAGAATACTACATTATTTACAAATTACAAGAATATCCCTGAGAAAAGTACAATTGTAATGAGCATAATTTAATGTTATAATTTATTTGTTGCGTACGGCAATTTTGTTAGGACAAAAACATACAACAGCGTCATATTATCATCAGCATTCTACGGGCTCGATTAATCGTATGAAAAGAATGATACCAATAATCGGCATACCCTCTAAATTTGATTGGCGAGATAAAGGAGTCATAGGACCAGTTATGAGCCAAGAGAATTGCGGCGCTTGCTGGGCGTTTAGCACTGTCGGAGTGGCCGAATCGATGTATGCCATCGAAAACGGAACTTTGCATTCCTTTAGTGTACAGGAAGTAAGCCTTATATTCTCGACATGTTTTTCTATTTACTAAGCGAAGAAACTACTCGAGGAAGTTCGCGTCAAATATAAATTTTATAAAAGCGCTTTCATATGTGTCGAATTGTTGTTAATTAATATGTTGTACAATGGGCATTAATGGGCACTAAGAAGTGACTAGACTCTTATTTTAGCAGCTCCCTTGATTTTTCAACGCAGATTTTAAATGCTTAGGCTGATATTACATTTGTCATACGATACGTTTTTTAAGCGTATTAATTGATTGTAGAAGAAGGTTTCGGATTTTTCTATCCTAACCAATCAACTGACTTGAAAAATTTTTTTGTCGTACGACAAAACGGACAAATGTAATATTGGTCTTATACGTTAGTAATTAGAAAAGTTTTGAGATTTAAAGCGGTCCCTAGACGATTAATAATATTATTGTTCAGTCATATATTTTATAACATTATTGATGCCTCCTTTAGACAATTGAATATAACGCTCAGTGTAATTTTTAATCAAATTTTCATCAATTTTCAATCAAATCAGCCAATAATTTAATTAATTTTTATTATTAATTTAATGTTTAATTTTGACCTTACTTAATCATTAGTGATACATGCGTATTGACATTTATGATTGCATTCGACAAAGTACTTGTAATGAGAATCAATTGACATCTGATCATACCGAGCAAGTTAACAATTAGAATTACTGAAGACAAATTTCTAAGCTGGACAGCATTTTTACGATGGAACAGCTATCGTTCAACGTATGATATAACGAGCGAAAAAAAAGGATTTGATTAGTTTTTCAGAAAATAAATGTAATCAGAAGTGACAATTCAAAAGTTTTACTATCCAATGTAAATTTTGATGTAAATTAAACTTATTTATAACGCTAAAAAAAAATGAGCGTCGATCCTCATAAATTGGCACCTCATTGAGCAATAATAATCACAGATGGAGCAATACTTAAAACTTGATAGCCACAATATACTATATAAACTATCAATATTGCCTCTAGACGATCAATAATTCTGTGCAATATCAAATATTGTTCAATAATATTGATTATCTAAGAATAGCTTAAGATACACGAGAGACTTTTCGAGTGAGAAACCGATGCTCAACTTTACAAGAAAAAATGATTAAAAATAAACAATCTCTTGAAAATCTCAAAACTTTTTTAGACGTTTCTATTTATTAATTTGTCAGCTGATATAGTTATTTATTTTCCGACGTTATACAGATGATCGACTGCATGCCAGGCAATTTTGGATGCCAGGGCGGTGACACATGTAGTTTACTGTCGTGGCTGTTGGCCTCAAAAACAAGAATTATATCTGAGATCGATTATCCTCTCACATTGCAAACCGATACGTGTAGATTGCATAAGTAGGTTGCATGCAAGGATGTTTTTCTTAGTGAAACCGCAAAACTATGATGACACTTGATCTTTCAGAATTTCTGCGAAGACATCGGGAGTTAGAGTAACGGACTTCACATGCGACAGGTAGTTTCATTTATACTTGTGCATTATTATTTATAATGCATTATTTTTTATTATCTTATTATTTGTAATGTTTTATTTTTAAACAATAAAAAGTTTATATGTGCAATTCCTCTTTTGCAATGCAAAAGAATTTAAAAAAAAATCGGTTAAAATAGAGTAAAGGATGTGAATATTGAAACAATTATATTAATTAATTAATTGTTTTATTATTTATTTTTTCTCATGCGCGAAATGAACATCGCGAAATAAAAATAATTTTTTGTTTTGTTGTAAGATTTACATCAATTTTCAAACTATGGCATTAACAAAGAGGGAGAGCCTGAAGGCTTTCGCCTGGACGCCACGCTGTCTAATACCTCGGCATTCGCGAATACTAATCGAGTTTGTTTCAGCTTTGTAGACGCGGAGACTGAACTTTTGACGTTGCTCGTTACTCATGGACCCGTGGCGGTTGCCGTGAACGCCATATCTTGGCAGAATTATTTAGGTGGCATAATACAGTATAACTGCGATGGTTCGTTCAACAGCCTAAATCATGCGGTGCAGATAGTGGGATATGACACGGAAGCTCGTATACCGCATTATATCATTAAAAATTCGTGGGGACCGTCCTTTGGCAATAAAGGTTACATTTATATTGCGATTGGCAAGAATTTATGCGGTAAGATCAATGAACGAGCGAGCATGTTACATTCACGCTAATTGAATGGAGTGCCTATTTCTTCGAGCGAATAACAAATATCTTAACGTATGTTCGCAGGTATAGCCAATCAAGTCTCTTCGCTCCAAGTTATTTAATCAATCAATGAATGTTAAATTGAATGCAGCGTTTTCAATTTCTGACAAAATAAATTGAATAATGCTGTGAAAAAATATGACTGAATAAAATACTTTATTAAGAACATTGGTGTTAATTATTTCTCATATTGTTTGTTACCTCAGAAGTCTATCAATATGACTGCTTTAATATAAAAGATGATCCAAGACGAAAAGTTAATCTTTCGGAAAGTGAGACAGTGACATATATAATTATTAGAAACTATACATAGTCATATTTTCCTAAAAAATCCACCGATTTCTCTTGATTTTTATCCGTATTTTCTAATCGTACAATGCAATTGATAACTTCGTTTTTATTTGCTTTATCAACATGTGGAACTATGTGACTTACAATTAATATCAAGAAGATCGACAATTAAAATTTAGAAAGATTTTGTATTTCTTACTTTTTCTTCTTATAATAAACGATTGTGAACGTTCGAGACATTGACTTTTCCTAGGATCATTTTGCCTAATCTAATTTATAATTTATGTCTAGTCTTAATTATAATTTTTATAATTTTTAAATTATGTAAAAATTGAATTAAATTATCTAAAATTTGAAATTTTAGTTTTTAACTCATAAAGATAGAATACATGGTGATTCTGAGACATTTTTCTAATTTTTAAATAATATAATGATCTAGAATAATTTTATATTTCACAATTCTTATTTTTCACTATTCTTATTCTATTCATACAAGTACGGTCAAATACAGTATGGTTATTGTACTACATAGTTATATTTATATTTATTAAGTTCAATTGTTGCAATTTTTTATATAGTTAAACATTTAAAATTTGTAAAACAAATAAAGAAAACTTTAATAGACCTCATGGAATCATGTTCCTTTAACGTCATAAAAAATGTGTTTAATTAATTTTAACGTTAAATTAATTTTGAGAGTCACGTATACTAAATCTTTTTTTAAAAGAAATATAAAATTTAAATGCTAAAAAGAAAGCATTTATTTTCAAGCAATCGTTTAACTGTATTACCTAATTATTGCATCAACGTGATGCATATAATACACTGACTATACATTACATTAGAGAAGTAAAACTTATTAGAATTTCATAAAGTTTGCTGTGTCATAGGCAGATTAATATATGAGCTTCTTAAAGATTCCGCCGATTCATCTTGATCTTCGTCCGTGATCCAATTGTATGATGCAATTGATAACTTCATTTTCATTTGCTTCGTCAACGGCGGGATCATGTGACGTGGTACCAAAAAGGTCGACAGATTGAACAAATCCAAAAAGACTTTGTATCTATCGCTATTCGTTAAGACGCATGAAACAAACAAAATTTATTATTTAAAATAAATTTGTATTCAAATGCAAATCAGTAAATTGTATTAAGTTGACTAAAGTCTTATGAAATGCATAATATAGGTGTTTTTAAAGTGACGTAATAAAAAATAATTAATAAGTTATCTAAGAAAATCAGTTATTTAGATGTAGATGTAAATAAAAATTTATGTTAAATTATCAATAAACAAGCTTATACTATTATAATTACTTAATTATTTTTGACATTACAATAATAATATTTGTAATAAAAATTCGTGATATTTTCATGTTACCATTAATGTATCTTTTCAGTGAATAAATCATTTGATATCAATTTTAATTATCAGTCATATATTTATATTAATTGAAGCAGACAAATACCTTAATGTGGACTTCAAATACTGATAGCCGGAAGAACCACCAGTACCTAGTTGTTGAGAACCGATCATTCTTTGTACCATGATAACATGATTATCTAAAAGTGTAAAAAACACGTTATTTTAATCAATTTTAATGTATAATAATGGAATATAATATGATACGAGAGAATATGATAAGATTATATAATGGAACATAAATATAACTCATACAATGTAAGTGTATTTTCATCAAGTGCAATAATATTGCACTTGACAATTTAAAATTTTACATATTAAAATTTCATAATAATAACTTTATATATGTATACACATATAATATGAATAATAATAATTATGTGCTTTTGTAAGTCTTTTGAATGCTGCAAGAAAAATTAAAAAAAATACTGATAGTGAATGTTGTAAAAAAATTTAAAATATCGATTATTTTTATAACTGTTGTAAAAAAATTAAATAAAATATCGATAAAATAGATTTTAGTAAAATATGCATACTAAAAAATATGTGAATTCAACATATCACGCATATATATCATATTGATATTAATACCAACGTGATTTTAAAACCCATGATATATATAATAATACTATCATGATATGGATTAAAAATTCATAATATTAAATCTATGGCGTTAAATCCACACTTATATTTTTTAGAAAATCAATAAATAACAAGATGCTAATAAGTGCTAATAAGTGCTAATAAGTTTTTCTTACACCTCCATTTCGTAATTAGAGAGTCAATATCCATTAGCGCCGTAAGGATCTGATGTGGCTGACTAAATCGTGGTTCATCTCGATATAGGGTGATCATTATTGCTCCCTGAAGAGCACTGTGCGAAAATCTGCGTTCCCCACGTGACACAAGAGCGTTGTGAAGTGATTCGTTGAAGATGCTATCGAAAACTGCTTGCCGCGAGCGCACATTAGCGAAATGATAGTCTTTAATGCATTCCTTTGACAGTTTCTGAAAAGTTATAAATTAAAAGTAATAAATAATTAAATAATTAAAAAAGTAATAAATTATGAATAGCCAATTATTTTGAAATTCGAAAACAAAGAAGTAAGCTATTGTATATATTTAGACAAGTCTTTTTATATCCGTTCTGTCTTGCAGTTTTCAATTTTACAGCTTTATGATAATCTTTTCAATATTAATTAAGTTTTAAATTATATAATAATTGAGCTTTAAATTAAATTTCTTAGCAAATGTTTATTATATATATTAGGAAGCAAAATTTTTATTTTTTTATTATTTCGTTAATTATTTTAGATTGTTCTAAAGAGAATTTGTCGCCGAAATTGTTAAAGAAGTACGAATATCAAATAATTTAGTGTAACATTATGAGTTACAAAATTGATAAGATCGAGCGTAGTTACATGTATGGCTTGTTCTTGTTCGGTTAACATCTTCTCCACTGCTCGTTTGTATTTTCCCCAAAAATCAAAATCATGTGTCTCGAGTCCTGGCGTTCTGCTTAACCAACTCTGAACCAGAGTACTGAGACTGTGCTCCTTCTCAGATCGCTTGATCGCCTCGATAGCTTCGGGATCTCTTCCGAAAATCTTTATGTAATTATATTTGACCCTGAGTTCCTGTTTTACACCCAATTTATTCTCTAACAGACGGAATTGCAACGATTGGAAACCCGAAGCAGGGCATAATAAGTCTCTAAATGCCATGAAATCCAACGGTGTCATAGTTTCCAAAATCGTCACTTGCTCCACCAATAGCTGTAAATCAAGATTTGTTTGTATTAATTCTTATCACGTTTTTTATTAGCAGTGTGCACTCAGTGCATGTGAAACTGTTGTACACTATTCTAATATAAATGTAAAAGTGAGAGAGATATTTCAATTGATAAAATGCTCAATATATTTATCAAAAAAAAAAACAATAAAATATATTGAATATTTTGTGATTTAATTTATGTTTACATTTTTATTAAATGTACAATTTGGTCGATTTGTGTACAATGGCTTTAAAGTGCACTGAGTGTGCACTAGTTCTCGCCAATGAAAAATGTTATTAGTATTTCGCCAGTTATTAAAAAAAAAAGAAACGACACAGCTAAATTACATTGTACATATTATGTACATTTAACTACTAAGAATTAAAAACAATTAATTTTTTATAATTTTATTTCGACCGTAATTATATTATATTAATTATATTAATTAATTATTCCTTTTGTAATTTTTGTTAAATTTTTTTATACATTTATGACTTTACTTTATATGTTATAATTTATTCATTTTGGCTGAAAAAAATTTGATAAAAGGAAACTATTACGTTTTAAAATAAAATTTATGTTTATTTTTATTTGACATTTTTTTATTGCTCTTCTTGCTCTATTTCTTTGTTTTAATATTATATTAAACTTTATTTTTATTACTTATGTTAATCTCTATTTTAACAAAAGCAAGATAAATTTTGCTACTAAAAAACGTGATTAAATAAAATCGAAGTCTTGTAGTTGCGAAAGAACATCTTGAAACGTTCTCATCGATTTGTCAACGCGTCTGCATTCGCACTTCTATGGGTGCCAGTGTAAGCGAAGGGTGCGTGAGCGACATAATACGTTAATACAATATTATAATGCATTGCTAGGTGCATCTGAAAATAAATATAGTATAACTGTATTCTTTAAAGAACGCGAGAATAATTTTTTTGACACGCAGAAATTTTAATGTTATCACAATCCATAAATTTTAATGCATTCATGTACATCGCATAAATCAGATATTACATTTGTAGTATATCTTCCGAACGATATTGTGTATCGAAGACAAATTCACGTTTCGATCATAATTATATTTTGAAGCATTCAATATTACGCGCTCGTATTGAGAATGTAGGGAGATGTTTTATCGAATAAAAATAAAGAAAGATACGACCGCACCTTCTGTGGTATTGAAATAGAGTAACGGGTTACCTAACGTACCGTCTTCTCCGTTCTCCGTTTAATGCATGTATAAGCGCCTGGTGTCGTATATCGTCTAGAAATATTATCTTACTATCACCCCACCTTATGCGGTTCCCACAGTCTTATTTATCTCATATCGTGCCTAAATCGGGTAAGAAAAATCACAACGCCGCGTCGCGTACTTGATATGTCAGCTGTTATGAAATATTAATCTAGTTTATCGTGAAGAAGCGAGCGGCAAAGAAACTGTCGAAATATATTATTCCTAACGAAGTATGTTATATGTATATTAGGCTTATTCTTTTTCTGCATCCTAGGTATCAATTATGTATCTTTTTCGCCTACAGCGAAAACGTGAAAAGTGAAAATTTTTTGTATGTATGTGTGTATAGGTACATGCATACATATTTTTCACTTCTTCTTCTTTTCAAGAAAAAGTGAAAACTTGATCAATACTCTGGACTTCTTGCACAGTTCAATTTTTGTCTTTTTCTCTGTGAAAAAAAGAGAGATAAACCATACAAAGAGTTCTGTCTTGAAATATAGAAAAAACAGATCTATAAAATATTCGATGTTTTTGAAATATGTAAGAGGATGTAAGAGAAAGTAAACAGCTTTGTCTGGTGAGACAGAAAAATTTGATTAAAGGGACATGCAGTCTATGGTGAACTAATCGGCTTGTAATTAAGGGCCGTTCACCTTGCATCGCCATTATTATTATAAGCGGATTTCTGTGAAATAGTTATTTGGCAAGTCGCTATATACATATAATTACACACACTCTATTGTTACACAAAATTACGCGAAACCACATTTCGTATAAGAACCCTTTTCGAGAGAATCGATTTTAGAACGTACCTTCAGGATA